TGCAGTAAAGCTTTAATTCCTTATTTAAGTCTAAAAGTAGATACTAATATAAATAGAAGTTTAAATACTTTCTTCTTGTACACCAGTTAATTGGATATTCCAGTCTACTTTGGAAACTAGTATTCTAGAAAACCAGGCTGTCATACTAACCGTGAGGTTACAGATTTCTGAATAAGTGAGGGATCTGCCATGGTGGTCATCTAGTGTGAATCTGGGGGGCAGAGATATAAGTGGGACTGTTTCTCCGGTAACTTGGGGCTGCTGTGATGAATATGGAACATTTTCAACCTGAAAAGAAGCTTGCTGTCACCCTGTGCCTGGGTTCTTACTAGTTACTCTACAGATAGAATTCCATGTCAGCATTTCAGTCATTCTTCATGGAGTAGGGAGGGATGGGAAGGTGAATTTCAGAAGTAGCAAGGAAATATAAATAAATGAGCATACCAGTACTCCCTCATTTCAGACTAGGGTTACAAACTGAAGTGCTCATAGGAACTAGCCTTGTAAAGTAAATGAGTGAAGCAAACTATTTAGAAGAAAAACAATAGTATAAGTCATTGATTACTGGCAACTAACAAGTGTCTTGAGGACAGTAGAAGGGGGATAATCTGGAAAGCATATGCCCTGTCTTAAATGGCATCTGTCACTCAGTTCTATCTGATTGTTGCTTTATGAGAATGTGGGTATAATATTGCCATTCTCCAGTTTTCTCACACCTGCTCAGGAAAAGCAGGAGATCCAGATTTGTGTGTACATCATCCTGATACAACAAATTCACATTTTTTATAGTACTAGAAAGACCACACAAATATATCTGTAGGCCAGGTTTCACCAATGGGCTGCCATTATATAACTTCCAATCTAGATCAAAATGGCAGTAGACTATAGGGAAATGTGAGATAGTTGGATAGTTTACCCTCTGATTATTTTGTACTTTAATATAAAATGTGTACTTTATCCCTTTTTTCTATGAGACCAGAATCGATAACATGACATTATTTTATCCTTAAAGACAGCTTTAAAATGATGGTGATGTAAGATTCAAAATATGGTTTTATTTTATTAGAAATTAATTTTTCTTTAAGCAGTTATTTAGTGAACATTTGCTGTGTGCTAGGCCTTCCGCTGGGTAGTCACTGAAAATCCTGAACATGACCAAGTGCAATGACATGACAGTCTGGCAAGGAAACAGTAGAGGTGATAGTCTTAAAGGCAACAAGCTATAGCGTGGTGTGCCCCGTTTATTTGCTAATTTTCGTATTAATTAGGAAGCTGGGTTTTTTTCATTTGATTTTTATAAAGTAAGATGCACAAGAAAAACGCATATAGTAGAGTCAATTTGTAATAGAATTAATTTCTGTGGTAGCTCACGAGAAGAAGGAGTTCTACCACAAGGAATTGGATTGGGCCTTAAAAGATGAGCTAAATTAGAGAATGAGGGCATTCCCAGCAGAAGAAATATATACATCTAAGACATAAATACATGCTGTGTTTCAGAACAGTAAGTAGTAAGATGTAAGTGAATCATACAGTACCTAGCTGGGAATATAGTGCACATAAATCTAGAAAGATAAAGTTGAGGATAGATCAGCCATGCCTTTTATGCCAAATTAAGAAATTTGGGCTTATTGTATTTCTTTCTTTTTCTTTTTTTTTTTTTAATTTAGGTCTGGAAAACCATTGAGGAAGTCCATTTAAACAGGAGGGACATGATCAGATTTTTATTTCAGATTAATGTGACATCACTCTAAAGTAACTCTGTCCAATATAAAATACAGTGGGAACCAAAAGTGCAAGCCACATAGTAATTTTAAGTGTTCTATTAACCACACTAAAAAGTAAGAGGAAACAGGTGAAATTAATTTTAATAGTATATTTTACTTAATCCAATCTATCCAGATTGTTTTAACAAGTAATTCAATATAAAAATTATAAATGAGATATTTTACATTTTTCCATACTAAATCTTCAAAATCCAATATATATTTTACACTTAGAGTACATCTTGTGGCCGGGCATGGTAGCTAACACCTTTAATCCCAGCACTCTGGGAGGCTGGACGGGAGGATCTCTTGAGATCAGGAGTTCAAGACCAGCCTGAGCAAGAGCGAGACCCCATCTCTACTAAAAATAGAAAAAATTAGCCAGGCGTGGTGGCACATGCCTGTAGTCCCAGCTACTTGGGAGGCTGAGGCAGGAGGATCGCTTGAGCGCAGGAGTTTGAGGTTGCTGTGAGCTAGGCTGATGCACTGGCTCTCTAGCCCAGGGAACAGAGCAAGACTCTGTGTCAAAAAAAAAAATAAAAATAAAAAAGTAGAGTATATCTTAAGTTAGACTGGCAATGTGTAAAATGTTCAAGAGCCACAAGTAGCTGTTGTCTACTTTACTGGACACTGCAGGTTTAGAGTCCACACTGTAGAAAATGAGCATGATTGGAATGAAATTGGAAATGAGAGAAAGAACCTGCTGAGTTACTCCCAGTGAAAAATGGTGAGGGCCTAATAAAAATCATGGCAGAAGTGATATACACAAGTAAACAGATTTTTAAAAAATGGTTTCATACTTTAGTCTTATGTAACTTTTTTTTTTTTTTTTACTTAGCATTACGTTTACTATTCATCTATGTTGATGTGGGTAGCTATAGTTCCTCTATTTTTTTTGCTATATAATTTCCCATTGTAAGAATATACTATGGTATTTTATCCATTTTCCTATTGCTTTTCTCCTTCCCATTTTTTGATATTATAACCAGTGTCACTATGAACATTCTTTTACATTCTTAGTACATTTGAGCAAGAATTTCTCTTAGATCTGTATCCTAGTAGATCCTTTATGACATATTTATTACAAATATTTGCCTTAGTTTGTAGCTTGTTTTATATTCAAAAGCTGACTTTTGATTTTAAAAATTATTTTTCTGTAGTTGAATTTAACAGTCTCTTATGGTTGGTTCTTTAATTCTTCCATGTGGTCACAGATTTTATTTTTTATTATCTTTAAATTTTTTAAAGCCTTACTTTTTTACATTTAAGTCTGCAACTCATCTAGATCATTTATTGAACAGTTCTTCCTTTTATTAGTTATCTGTTGCTGCATAACAAATTGCCCAAAGCTTAGTATTATTAGCTTCAAACAACAGACATGGATTATCTCACAGTTTCTATGGGTCAGGAATCTGGGAGCAGCTTAGCTGTGTGGTCTTAGGGTCTCCTGTAAGGTTACAATCAAGCTGTTGGCTGGGGCTTCAGTCATCTCAATGTCTCCAGCTCATTCCCATGACTGTTGGCAAGCCTCAGAGGATCTACTTCCAAGCTCAGTTGTGTGGTTACTAGAAGTCCTTGGTTCCATACCACATGAGTCTCTAGAAGTTGCCTGAATAGCCTCCCAACATGGCAGCTGGTGTCCCCATGAGAAAGAGGAAGTTAAGAGAGTACAAACGGAAGACAGAAGTCATAGTCTTTTCATAACTCATTTTCAGAAAAGACATCCCATTTCTTCTACAGTAGTATTAATATATTCTCTTCTCTAGAAGCAAGTCACTATGTGTAGTCCACACTCAAAGGAAGGGAAATTAAGCACAATCTCTTGATGGGAGTTGTATCAGAATCTGTGGACAGATCTTTAAAACCAGCATACTCCTTTGCTCAGTGATATCCAAGTCAGCTCTTTTAGGTATAATTTCTCTGTATATGCTAGTCTATTCCTGGCCTATTTATTCTGCTCCATTGGTTCAATTTGTGTATCTCGTTTCTTTTTTCTTACCCTAAATGTGGGTATAGGCCCAAAACTCATTTTCTGGCCTTTTTTTTCACTCTGTACGTTAATGCATATTTATTCTGAGAGAGTATCCATTCTTCCGTCTTAATTCTTTTTTTTACATAAAACTTTTAGTACAAATGATGAAAAATGACTTCATGACAGATTTTCCAATAAAAGTTATTTTTACATATTTTGAAATCCTGTAAAAACCACACATCACCTATTAGCTCTTAACAGAAGACTCCGAACTACATGCTGGACGATACCTCAGACTCTTCATGTCTGTGACCAGATTCTTTTCATGTGTCTCTTCTTCATGGAAGAAAAAATCCCTTGATAATTATTATGGTACCAATTATAGCCTATAAAATTCAAGACCCTGGAGTAACCCATGGGAGGTGTTCTATCAAGTATTCAATATAGGCTTTAATGTCAGATCTGTATTGAATTTTATCTACTACCATTTGCTGAGTTTGTGTGACCCTGAGCAAAACCAAGTCCCTGACCTCTCTTGAGGTTTCTATTCTGGGGAGAGACAGACAAGCAAATAATTAAGTGCTGTGTCAGGCAGTGGTAATAACAATGGAGAAGAAGTAGAGCAGTGTAAGCAGAGGGAACAGGTAGTGTGGGGTAGGGGACACTGTTATTTAATATGGTATAGTGAGGAAATGGCCTCTCTGAGGTCATACTGGAGCAGGAAGCTATGGGAGTGAGGGAGTGAACCATTCATTCTAGGCAGAGTGAAAAGCCAGTGCAAAGGCTCTGAAGGAGGAGTTTATCCCATGTCTTTAAAGGAATTTCAAGGAGACCATTTTTGTATGGAGATTAGGTAAAGAAAAAGTCAGAAATGTGACATGAGGTCAGAAATACTAAGGGAGAAAAGGATCTTGCAGGACTTACATGAACTTTGGTTTTTATTCCGAGAGAGCTCAGAAACCATTGGAGGGTTGTGAGCAGAGGGTAGAATTTTCTGCCTTATATTGTAAGTAAATTAATTGTTATATGGGCTGGTACATGAATTTCTGTATTATACTCAGGAGAAAATAAAATGGCATTTGTTGAGATTTGCAAATAAATTTTTAAATGTTTTTCATCATCTATGTTTAGTTTGTGATTAAGAATTTCTAGAACGTTAGCCAGTTTTTAATAGTCGGCATACTTACAGTTTTAATGACCCTTGTTGTTTTGGGTGCAGTAATGCTTCTCTTTTCTTTTTTCTTTTGTGGTCTCACTTTGTATAGATTGCTTCCATCTTTGCTTTTGCTACCTGTGGAGGGTTTAAGGGCAAAACAGAAATTCTAGTGCATTGTCCTCCTTCCAATGACAGTAAAACTATTACAGCTACTTTTGGTTATCCATTCAGGTAAGTTATTTATTTGTTTTTATGGCTTAACAACTGTTTTTACTTTCATATTGACTCATTAAAATTTCCAGTAATTTATTGATTGGGAGGTTAGAAAATTATTCAAACTGTGGTACACAGACCAGTGCCTGACTGCAAACATTCCCTGGTCTGTGACAAATTAATACAGAAAGTGAAAGTAAGCATTTAGAAACTTTCATAGCAGTATGACATTGCCTTGACATTTTTATTCTGTCATCCCATGGTGGATTGGAAATTAAGAAACAAAATAAAATAGAGACTGCTCTATCACTGTAGTGTGAGAAGCCCTAAAATAGAAGAAACACAATTCTATTGTGAAGTCTTCTGTTTGACTTCAGTATCCATTGAAAAGTTTGTTGAACATGTCCTATGTTTAAGCCAGGGCGTGACTCTTCTTCTACTTACTAACTATTCTTATGTGATCTGACTCAATTTTTTTGTCCAATAAATTGGAAATATTACCTTGTAATGATGTTTCGATAATTAAATAAAATCTCTGTATTAAAGATAGGTCAGATAACAAGTACTTAGTAATCATCAAAGCCTCTATCTCTTGCCCCTTCTTCTGTATAGTTCCTGCCAAGGAACTGTTACCAGCATCTTTAGTGATAAGTATTTTTGCTATTTATGGATGGGGAAAATTAAAAGCAATGTTAATTTTCAGTTAGTAACTAATTAATCCAAGGTTAAAATGTAAATCATCATTATAATTGGCTCGCCTGGGGCTAGTCACACAGACTTTGCCTCCCAGAGTGGAATATCATGTCTCAAATTGTAAACTATAGGTATAATCCCTCCTAATTGGCTAATCTTTTTATTGCAGGAAGGTAGTATCTGGTGTGAAAATATTTAATTCAGTCTGTATTTAATCATAAACCAGTTATGAGGTATAATTTATGTTTATTATGAAAATTTCACTTAAATATTTGAATTTTACCTCTTTTTCAAAAGGAAAATCTTTTTAATATATTTGGGGAGGATTTTTTGAAATATCATTTCAATATTCTACTTAAGTATTTCTGTTTCTGTTGGGAGAGTCCAGTAATTCATACATTTATTTTAATAGGTTGAATGAGGCATCATTTGAGTCACCTCCACATGTAAATGTGTGTGATGTAACTTGGAAAGATCATGTCCTCATAGGCGATTACTCTTCTTCTGCACAATTCTATGTTACATTTGCAGTCTGTGTGTTCCTGTACTGCATTGCTGCCCTTCTACTTTATGTTGGTTACACGAACTTATATCGGGATAGTCGTAAACTTCCCATGGTTGTAAGTAATCATTTTATTATTTTTATACAAAAATAATTTGTTAAAGTTACATTTGAAGTTCAATATAGGTATTTTTACACTGGAAATCAAAATTCTTGGCATAAGCCAGTTCAATGTAATTTGGCTTGTGTTTGCCATGAGATTGAGTTTTTTCCCATTGTTAAGTTTGACCCAGTTCTTTAAGCCTATTTGCACTCCAGGGAAAATTTGTTTGTTTTTAACTCTGTTTTAACCTGGAAAAAACTAAAATATGTGGTAAAGCATATTAGGTTGCAAACAGCAGAAAAATTAAGTAGAAATTAATGCCTTTAATTTGAAGAATTGGTGATCATACCAGTAGTCTCATAACTTTCTATTTACCTTTTTTCTTGAAGGCCCCCTTTATGCCTTTACAATGTCTTATTGAGCTTAATTGTCTGTATCAGGGATTAGCAAACTATGGCCCACAGGTCAAATCTGACTCACTCTTTTTTTACATAAAGTTTTTTTGGGTAGCCAGCCATACCCAATCATTTACACATTGCCTATGGCTTCTTTCATGCTATAGTGTTTGAGTTGAGTAGTTGTGACAGAGATAAAAAATTATTTACTATCCAGCCCTTTTCAGAAAAAGTTCGCTGATTCTTGATCTGTATTCCTAAACTTTTAAAAATCTGAACCAGATAATTCTTCTATTCAGCATTAGTGGCATCCATGAGCTGATTTTGAATCTTTGAGATGCCAACGAAAGTTTTGGAATTGAAGTCCTGATATTTTTCTTGGCTTTAGAGTCTGCTGAGCTACAAATAAAATATTCTCTGAGATTTAGTTAGTAGAATCTGTCTTGGATTATTGGTGGCAGCAAATCCAGAGATAAGCCATAGTTTTAAGCAGGACCTCCACTGTAAAAGAATAACTACAAAGTCAGTATTAGTGCTATTGACTTGAAGAGAAAACAGGTATTTTTGTGATTCTGATCATTTATGTGTATGAGAAAACACTACATCTGCTAATTATTTGTGAAGTCACTTTTAAAGAAAAGGCTATTGAAATATGAAGGATTGTTAAATAAGGTAACAAGTTTTATATATTTATTTATTTTTAATTTTTGCTGCCTGGATTGTAAGAATGCAAATGGGTAAGTAAGGAATAAAACAGTCTTTTATCATTCAGATTTATTCTGATTCTTGTGTCTTAGAGGACATAAGAAAGCTAGATGTTGTCATAAAATACTTCTTGATTGTTAAGCGTCTTTCAAAAAGATAGACATTCAAAAAGATAGACATCAATTGGCCGGGCGCGGTGGCTCACACCTGTAATCCTAGCGCTCTGGGAGGCCGAGGCGGGTGGATTGTTTGAGCTCAGGAGTTCGAGACCAGCCTGAGCAAGAGCGAGACCCCGCCTCTACTAAAAATAGAAAGAAATTAATCGGCCAATTAAAAATATGTAGAAAAAATTAGCCGGGCATGGTGACGCATTCCTGTAGTCCCAGCTACTCGGGAGGCTGAGGCAGAAGGATCACTTGAGCCCAGGAGTTTGAGGTGTCTGTGAGCTAGGCTGATGCCACGGCACTCACTCTAGCCCGGGCAAAAGAGTGAGACTCTGTCTCAAAAAAAAAAAAAAAAAGATAGACATCAACTATTTTAATTTGCAGTGTTTATTCAACAGGAATTATATGTTAGGAATCCGTGTCTTCTGCAGACTCTTCAAGACTTATTTAATTTAAAAAGGAACTAAGATGATCATATAGATAATTATATTTTGTTAAAATTCTTTTTTATTAGAAGATATTTCTTGTCATTTTGTCATTATCCCAACAAATTATTTCATTAAATCTTTCAATAATTTATTTCTCATATTTTATTTAGTAAACTTTAAAAATACCATACTTCTTAAAGCAGCATTCAGATCTATTTTCATGGAGGGTTTTCCTGTCTGATAAAACTGTAAAACTGCTCTAGTTGCATCATACAGAAAGTCACAAGTAATTTTCCACCTCAGAATGATCATTAGTGGTTGTATAAAGAAATAATCCAGAATTGTTTCCTTAAGTAGGTTTTTGTTGCTATAGCAAATAATGGGTGCTTCTTGTCTGTAAGGTCCAGCTTCTAAATTAAATTTTAGTTCTATTTTTAATTTAATCATATAAATATATAAAAAAGTTTTTTGAGATACCCAAATTTTTAAATATAAACAAATATGACACTAATTTTTAGGTATGGTTGTGAATGAGGACAAGATTTTTTAGCAATATTCTCAATTCTGTGCTGAGGTATTTCTAGAAGTATTTCAATTATGAAAATTTCAATATCCTTTAATTCTTTTTTGAAGTAAATATAGTACTTTTTTGTGTTAAGTAGCAGGAGCTTAAGAGTTCTAGACAATGTGGATAATTGAGAATTCAGAAAATGAAACCAAACAAGAATAGAGTATCCGAAATCCTAAAAATCGTTCATGAATCATATCCTGACTTACTGGTACGAGCAGAGATGCCCCAAGCAGCTGTGAGTTTTGCACTGCAGAACTCCACGTGGGCATCGTTCACTTGAAGTGCAATATGAGTAGAGTCCTGAGTAGGACAGGTCTGTAGGGACCAGGATTTCCCCCACTTTCCTTCACCCTAGGGCTACTTTGTGCATCATTTTCAGAAAAGTTCCTGCTTTTGAAATATAAGAATGTCATAACTTAAGCCATCAACAAAGTAGATTGAAATCGCATACATAACCAGAAAAAAACACAAGAATTTGGAAGGAAGAAAATACTTGAAAATTAAGAGGATTCAACATACGAACTTCAGGCTAGAGAGGAGAACTTGTTTAACGTGATAACCTCATATTATATATCAGTTCTCCAAAAGGCATTGTATTTCTAGCAAGTGTTTAGAAAATGTCTACCTGCAGCAGAATGTATAGCAGAGTACAGCAGTAGAAAGGGGAGTGTTTCCACAGTGCAGAAAATTTAAGCTATAATATTTCTAGCCTTTTCTCTTTGATCTACATTTTTTTAAAAGGATAAGTAGCGGAGAGCTGAAAAGCAGATACCTCTGCGTTTGTATAATTAGTAATTGTTTTTGGTTCTCTAATCACAAGGCATTTATTCAATGCTGTTTGACCAGGTGATCAGGCTATATAACATAGCTTCTATATCTCATAAGAGATTACTAGTATTTATCCTAAATAAATAATTAAAGGTGGCTGGCAAAATAATTAAAAACTAATCAGATTTATTTAAAAAGCAAACCCTTGTCTTATAAGCTTCAAAACCTATTCTGAGCTTGGAGGGATTTTTGCTGCAGATGTGTAAGAGCTCCTATCCTTGAAGGTACCTATATGCTTAGAGTATATAGCATCAAAAAGATAAAAATTTTGCATTATTCCCACTCAGGTCAATTATTTGAAGGAAGACCAAACAAGATAGGACTTACACTTCATATTATACAAATGCATACTCAAAGAAAGTGTTATTTAGATCTTTTTAACCAATACTATTTGACAAAATTTTAGTTCCCCAGCAGAGAAGATTGGATAAGGAGAATAAATGATTCTCTTCTTCTTCATTTTGTTAGTTGAGTAAGAAACTATCTAAAATATTAAAACCATCCATTCTGTTCTTAGAAATGTAGTAAACAGCAAAGGATGCAGTAAAAAGTTACTACTGATAAGATGTTTTGAAAGATTTTTTGTTGTCTTTTTCTTAACATAATGAACATTCTTAAAATTTGTGGTCATGAATTTAAAAAGAGACAAGTCATCTTAGTTGTGTGCTTTTCACCATTTCATTATCTGTCTCATGGAAAATTAGATTTAACTAAAGTTAAAGTTTTGCTAGAACAGTATAAGGAAGCAGGAGAAGGATAAGGGAGTTGAGAGTGTATGCAAAGGATTATAATGAAAGACCTTAGAATATAAATTAATTAAAGGCAGTGAGGACATTAGTTAAGTTGAGAGACAGAACAAAAATGGTAGGATCAGATTGTTGGTCCTGGTGGGGTCAAGGGATTTTTGAGATTGGGGTGCCAGAGAGAGTGAGCTGCGAAAAGGTGATATGGGAGACAGGGATGATCAAAACAGATTATGGCACTGTACTAGTAATAGTAAACAACAATGTTTACTATGCTGTGACCTTTTTTATAAAGTATATCATGAAGGCCATTAGTACCATGGGGTTAAATGTAATCTCAATTTCTTCATCATGGATTTGAAATTTAGTATTTTTAAATTAACTGTTCATTATTAACTCATACATACTTTTGCTTTAGGACTTTGTTGTTACACTTGTTGTCACTTTTTTGTGGTTGGTGAGCACTTCGGCCTGGGCTAAAGCTCTTACAGATATTAAAATAGCTACTGGTCCCAGTATCGTTCAGGAACTTGCGCCTTGTAAGAAGACAGGAGTGATGTGTTATTTTGGCTCTGTGACCAGTATGGGATCCCTAAATGTATCGGTGGTATGTATGCATTGTTTATAAAATTTTTATTTCACATATTAGAAAAACCATACTAGTAATTTAAGAAAGCAGTAGCTTTCAATAAATCTCTGGATGAGTATATTGGTTTTTATTTTTCCTAAGCTATCAGAATTCTAATTACAATACAGTGTTTACCTTTATAACAGTGAAGAAAAGTTTGTTAACAAAATTATTACATATAAACAAGATCTGACGGAGTCTTTTTATTAAAATTGATGAGGCAGGACTTTTATTTGAAAGGCAGTAATAATAGTTGCTAATGTTTATTGGAATTATATGCTAGGCATTGTGTTAAGGGCTTTACACTCATACCTTGTTTCAATTATCTAACCATGCTAAGAGGAATGTGGAAGGTGGTGACATTATCTTCATTTTATAACTGGGGAAAAAAATGTAACTCACATGTTAATTCAGCCAAGGTGACACAGCTGGTAAATTGCAAGCCGAGGTTTGAACCCAATCTGACTTTAGAGCCTGCTCTCTAAATCTGACTTGTTCTGGGTATATGAAAGTAATATTTTTATGGTTTCTTAAATAATCTATAAAATTTAGTCTTTATGAAGTATTAAGTATTATTTTGTCTGCCATTTTACCAAAATACAGATGTTTATTATTAAATACATTATAAATATACTGAGTATATTATGTTCAGAGAGGTCTCATGTCTTCAGGAAAATGTTTTTCCAGTGGATGAAGTCAGCATTGCCTTATAAAGCAATGTGCCCAAAGTTTTGTTTTATAACTTTGTAATTTAAACGTCAGTTTTTTGCATTTATTTTGACAGTGCTTTGAGCTGGACAATATCAGAAATATTGTTTTTGATGCTGGGCATGGTGCCTCACGCCTGTAATCCTGGCACTCTGGGAGGCCGAGGCGGGAGGATCGCTTGAGGTCAGGAGTTCGAGACCAGCCTGAGCAAGAGCGAGACCCCCCCCCATCTCTACTAAAAATAAAAAGAAATTATCTGGACAACTAAAAATATATATAGAAAAAATTAGCCGGACATGGTGGCACATGCCTGTAGTCCCAGCTACTTGAGAGGCTGAGACAGAAGGATTGCTTGAGCCCAGGAGTTTGAGGTTGCTGTGAGCTAGGCTGACGCCATGGCACTCTAGCCTGGACAACAGACCCAGACTCTGTCTGAAAAAAAAAAAAAAAAGAAATGTTGTTTTTGTATACAAATATACAAAAAGATGTAAAGCTTTGGCGTTTGGTAATATGCAGTATTCTCAAGCCTCTTGCCTCACTCTTACTGCATAAGTCACTATTTTATTTATAAAGGACTCTATTAAAATAAGGTAGCTTCAGTTTATTTATCTCTGAGACTTGTGTCTGGTCAGATTTATATCTGGGAAGATTAATTTCTTTTAGATTGACTAATGTGTATGGGATGGGCAGTAAGATTCTGTGGCTCCTCTTCTCTTCTGGCTACAACTGTTGGATTGGACAAGTAGGTGCAGATGGGAGGGGAATAGGAAAAGGTACACAAGGGCAGTTGATAATCATTCTGAATGGGAGAAAAGTGAAAGCTCTCAAAAGAAGGCAACATAGATTCCTATTGTTTCTTTTCACCCTGAAGCACCAAAGTCCAAATACAAAGTAATAAAAGGAGAATTTCCGTTTTCTCAAATTTAATCCCATCTTTTTGATCATAATGAGCATGCAAAAATGAAATTTCTTTTAGTCGTGATTTTATATTTACAGATTTGGAGGTTTAGATCTATTTCATTGGGAGTAAGTCCTTGTATAGCCAATTTTTATACATTGAAATATAAAAGTCCTTTGTTATTTCACTTTGTGGTATTAAACTTTAAATGAAATAATGGTATTACTGCCTGACAATGTTAAATATTTGAAGGAAAACAGATTTTTTAAGTAGGGCATGAATTTTTAAGTAGGTATTCGATTTTCATATTTATTTTTTTCTTTTGTAGATCTTTGGCTTTCTGAATATGATACTTTGGGGAGGAAATGCTTGGTTTGTGTACAAGGAGACCAGCCTACACAGTCCATCAAATACTTCTGTCCCCCATAGCCAAGGAGGTATTCCACCTCCTGCTGGAATGTAATTAAAGGGAGAAATACACTGTATGAAATATATGTCAATACTATGACATGTTACCAACATCTTGAGAAGCATTATTTGTTTCTAATAAAAAGTAATGGCTTTTTCAATAAATTGGTGGGTTTAAAATTTTGCTGCTTTTTTACATAAAGCCTGTGCCTTTCCTAGAAGTTTAAGATGTAAATGTATTCTCACATGTAAATTTGAAAGTTCAGGGGCCTATTATGAGATGATACACGTTTTCAAATGAACAGTAATTTTTTCACTAAGCTGTTTGCCTACCAAAGTGTTTACATCTTAAACCTTAACATGTATCTTCACTCAGAAAACAGTTATAATGTCATATGTAATAGGAAGAAAAATCTTTATTTGGAATATACACTACTGTAAGTTTGTACAGATCATTTACCTAAGACCAGTCTTTAAGGAAGCCTTGGTTACACAAATCGTATTTAGAAAACATATTTAGTTCAAATTTTATATCTAATATTCATGTGATGAAAAATTTTAAACTGCAAAGACTTGGTATATGTTTTAGTTTTGTTTTTCTAAATGACCTGCTTACTTAATAGGTGTACTAAAATTGTGTTGGGAGCAGGGATTTGGAAATTAGATATGTAGTTAATTTAGTAATTCTGTTGCATGAGGTGTAAGTTTCTATTATGCCGGTGGTTTAATAGGCTTGCTATATAAGCAGAAGGAGCATGGTTCAGCTACGTATTTTTATATGTATGGGCATTACTCTTTGTGCTATTTGTTTGCTGTCCTTTGTTGCTCATATTATTTAAGCATAGGCTGAGACCTAGTCTCTTTGCAAATAGAGTAAAATAATCTACCTTTTTATGTAGACCCTATCAGAGGGTTAAAAAAAATTAAGATTGCCTTTTACTTTTGAAAACTTACCATTTAGAGTCAATGAAGTTGCTATTTTGAGTTTAGCATTGATATTGTGAAAATAAATGCAATTCGAATTTCATGTTTGTTAATGTTCATTCTTATTTCACAAATGAATGATTAAGGAATTATGCATCATAAACAAAGGAACCTAAATGAGCTATATTATGGGTCTGTTGTCTTTGCACACACATTGGGTATATTCTAAATACAGGGTTTATTCACATTTTGCTTCCTAATCTTTGTTGTGCAGGGATCCAGATTTCTTATTCTTACAACATGAATGTTCATATGTGAAGCACATCTTGCTATTGCCTTATTTTTGTTGCTTTTATTCATGACAAGAAATTGTCAATACGAGAATGTATCTTTTTTGCAACCAACTTAATAAAGAAATTGAAAAAAAGAGTGCACTGATTGTTATATTACAAAGAAACCTTCATTTTAAAGGCATGAGCAATGCAAGATAGAAATGATTTTCAAAGCAGGAAATAGAATCACAATAGTTTTTTAAAACGTTTGGCGAGGAATAAAACAGACAAAAATACTTTGGAGACTCTGGTTGTATCCTTTTTCTTTCACTCTCATTTAGAAAATATTTATAGCTCTCAAGTTAAATTTTCCTGATAAACCTTTTATGATTGACTATCCAGTTAGCCAGCAAAGATTCCTGATTAAGAGTATATGTTTTAGAGCCAAACTGCCTATATTTGAATCTTCACCATTTACTAACTGCTTAACTTTAGGCAGATTACCCTCTGTATACCTCAATTTGCTTATCTAAAAATTGGAAATACACTAAATAGTCCCCTCTCATTCGCAGGGGATATGTTTCAGTACCCCCAGTGGATGCCTGAAACCATGGATAGTACCAAACCCTATATATTCTGTGTTTTTTCCTGTACATACATACATCTGGTAAAGTTTAATTTATAAATTAGGCACAGTAAGAGATTAGTAACTAAGAATAGAACAATTATAACTATCTTGTAATAAAAGTTATGTGAATGTGCGCTCTCTCAAAACATCTTATTGTACTCTACTGCGAGTAACTGAAACCACAGAAAGCGAAACCACTTTCCTGACCTCAAAAGAATGTTTATAAAAATGAAGTGAGCTAATTAAAGTTCTTAAAACAGTGTTCAGTATATATTAATAATAGGTACTCTCTAAGTGTTAGCTATCATTACTAACTTTTTTTTTTTTTTTTTTTTGAGAGAGAGAGTCTCATTGTGTTGCCCGGCCTAGAGTGCCATGGCATCATCGTAGCTCACAGCAACCTCAAACTCCTGGGCTCAAGCGATCCTTCTGTCTCAGTCTCCCGAGTAGCTGGGACTACAGACATGCGCCACCATGCCCGGCTAATTTTTTCTATATATTTTTAGTTGTCCGATTAATTTGTTTCTATTTTTAGTAGAGACGGGGGTCTCGCTCTTGCTCAGGCTGGTTTCGAACTCCTGAGCTCAAACAATCCACCCGCCTCGGCCTCCCAGAGTGCTAGGATTACAGGTGTGAGCCACCGCGCCCGGCCTCATTACTAACTTTTCATAGCACTTAATATAGAGATTCTTAACCTGGAATTCATGGGGCTAGGCAAGGAAGGTTTGGTTTTGGGCTATCAGGCAGGATAAGCTTCAAGTTTACAAGCTTCTCCCATTTTATTAAAGCGATCTGCAGGTTTTGGTGTGTTTTATTTTTCTGTTGGTGGTAGATGTTTATAGGGTCAATGAGATTAAAAGGGTATATTGAGATTAGAGTAGATTAGAAAGGAATTCTGTTGCCTTTTCACTCCCTGTTTTTGAGTCAACATTACAGGGTTAAGCAATTTGTAGGATAATTTCCAAGACAGAAGCAATAAAAGTTTTTGCTTACTAGGTGATAGGTTGTAAAGAATTATTCATAAACATCGTCATTACTAATGTTTTTGTAAATAGAGGTCACTTGGATAGAGATACTTAAAATTTAACATACTGTAAATGTTTAAAGGCATTACTGCTTGTTATTATGTTCTTTATGTTTCCCACTTAATTTTTAAATTTCTAATTATGTAGTATTTCAGATTAACAGATAAGTGTACAGATAATATGTAACAAGTGCTTTATTTTAAGCAGCAGATATTTTTAAGGAAATAAATGATTACAGGTATAGCCTTTTCCTTAGTGAGATACAGTTAGATTTTTCCTACTTTTCACTATTACAAATAGCATGGAAACATTCTGAAATGTGCGAAGGCTTCTCTAGGACATATCAGTAGAAACAGAACTGTTGTAATGTGAGATGTTCACATTATCAGTTGTAACCTATTGTAACCCAAAATTGGCAAAGTGCTTACACTAAGTTAGTCTTCCACCATTAATATGTAAGAGTTCCTGTTGCTTCATATTCTTGCCAGTATTTGGTGTTAATGGACTATTGCCAATCTGATGAGTTTGAAATAGTGTCTTCGATGTTTTTTAAATTTGTGTTTCTCTGATTGCTATTTAGGTTGGTGGTCTTTTCCTATATTTATTGGCCATTTGGTTTCCCCTACTCTGTGTTGCCTATTCATATCCTTTGCCAATTTTTCTAATGTTTCTAATGTGGTGCTTGTCTTTTTCCAGTTGAATTATGGAGTTCTTTATGTATTTTTTTTTTAAGAGGGGGAGAGGAGGAGGGGTGCACAAGGGCAGTGTCCAGACCGACTAAATGACCCTCTCCCCCCACTGCAGGGGATCTTTGTGTATTCTTGACATTAACTCCTTGACTTTTATATAGGTTGCAAATGTCTTCTCTGTGTTCATGGCTTGTATTTTCACTTTATAATTTCTGTCATAAAAAGTATTTTAATACTAATTTCACTTTCTTCTTCATGGTTTATGTTTTTTATGTCTTAAGAAATCCTCTTCTCAATGTCATAAAAGGTATTCACCTATGTTTTCTTATAAATATGTTTTGTTTTTCACTTTTTAGTCTTTAAGCCATTGGGGAGCGTATTTTTCTATATAGTGTGTGGTCCCTGCCTCAGTTTTTATAATTTTCAATACCCATACCCAATTTTCATAGTACCCTTTATTTAAAAGTTCATCTTTTATTCACCTCTGTCATATATCAGATTTCCGTATTATTTGTAGTTCTTTCTGTGTGCTCTTCACCAGCACCATATCTAGCCCTATCACCCTTTAATTATTATATATAGCTTTACAGTAAGATTTACTATCTGATAGGATGAGCACCAGAGCACCATCATTATTCTTGTTATTCACAGTTGTCTTGGCTATCTTGAAGTCCTATACTCTCCTGTGAATTTTTGGATCAGTTTGTCAAGTTCCTAAAAACTTTTGTGGAGTTTCTTTTGAAATGAATCACATTGAATTTATAGATCAGTTTGGGGAGAATGGTCATAGTTATAATACCAAGGCTTTGCATTTATGAACATGGTATATCTCTATATCTTTTATGACCTTCAATAAAGTTTTATAATTTTCTACATAAAGATTTAAGATCCATATCTGTCTTGTATTAATAGCTTTGCTGCTATTGTACAAAGTAACATTTAAATTGTATTATAGATTAAATTGTAATTGTTTATTGCTGATATTCAAGACTTCTGCCAATTTTTGTCTATTGATTTTCTAAAACCATTTAATTTTAATACATAGATTCTCTTTTTTATATGGATAATTATATCATCTGCAAATGATAGTTTTGTTTCTTCATTATATTTGGAAATTAAACTTTTTTCTCCTTTTATCTTTATATGATAATTGTCATTGAAATCTGAAAAACAGAAAGTAGATACTTATTTGAAAATAGAATAGCTGTAATTTTGTCTCAGTGTAGCATACTTAACCATAAATTTATACTACATTGTATCTTGGTCATTCTAGTAATAAATAAAATATCATCAACATCATTAATTCTTGTGTTGTAGAATAGACAAATAAATTGAAATACCAGTTGAATTAAACTGACAAAATATAATACTATCATATAATAGTGTCATACAGAGTCTATTGTTACAGTTTATTTGGATTTTGCTTGTACAAGAAAATATTTACAAGTGAAGCTTGCTAGTTGAATTTTAAAGAATAATTAGATTTTTAAAAAGTTTTATTCAGGTATAATTGACATATAATAAACTATACATATCTAAAGTATACAATTTAATGAGTCTTTTTATATATATATTAATATGTACATATATATAGTCAAACTGTCACCACATCAAGATAATGAATCTA